AGGGCAAAATCTGACAATGTGACTCGGGTCACCACAACCGTAACAAGCCCTCGACTGCTGACCTTGTCGACCTGAATGTCCTCCCCGGAAGCTCTGAAGTGGCGGTGCACTGATAGGAGCTGGTGGTGCACTGAAAGACTGCCGATCAAAATAATGCGGCTGAGAACCACTACCTCCTGAAGTACCATGAGAGACCTGGAGAGCTGACTGAAAGGGCCTCGGAGGATGACCTCTACCATAAGAATCTCTACCTACAGACGAGGTACCACTGAATCTACCTGCATGAAGGGGCCTCTTATCTGACCCATGACCACCTCCCCGTGCATGAGCCATCTCAACTCTACGGGCCGCATTGGCCGCCTCCTGAAAAGAAATCTCACCCGGCTCCCATAGCCATAATGGAGACGGATCGGCTGAATTAATCCCTCAATAAACCTCCGCACCCTCTCTCTCGGTGGGGAGTATAACATAGCGATGGCGAGCTAGATCAATGAATCGAGTCTCAATCTGTGTGGCTGNCAGAATCGCACGACAAGAAAGAACAAAGTGAGATTTTCCTAACTCTGTAGCCTCTGGGGGATAAATACAGACGTCTCCGTACCGATCCCTCAGACTCTACCGAGTTTGTCCGTGAGTTGTGAGACCTATGTAACCTAGTGCTCTGATACCAACTTGTCACGACCCGGATTTCCCACCCTCGAGAGTCGTGATGGCGCCTACTGTTAGGAGCTAGGCAAGCCAATTAGTTATTATCTCTTTTAGCAAACCTCGACATTAATAAAAACAACGTAACATTTAATAGAAAAGCGAAAGTCTTAAATATAAATAAACTGAAAGCAATGCGGAAGTTCAATACAACTTTACCCAAGGACTGGAGTCACAAACTCACGAACGTCTAGAGAATGCTAAATACAATGTCTGAATAAAAACATAGTTTTGTTTGTTCCGGTACAAAGGATAACCAACTAAAGTAAAGATAGAAGAAACTCCGCGCCTGCGGACGTCAGCAAGGCTACCTCGGTGTCTCTGGACTGAAGTCAGCTCCCAAATCTACTATTGCTGTCCAAAAGCTGCTCTGGCACCGTGATCTGTGCAAAAAGATGCACAGAGTGTAGCATCAACACAACCGACCCCATGTGCTGGTAAGTGCCTGGCCTAACCCCGGCGAAGTAGTGACGAGGCTAGACCAGACTACCAAACAAACCTGTGCAGTTCAATATATATACATGTATGCAATATAAAGGTATACAGAAATTAACCAATCAAGGGGGAGGGGGAGCATGTTGTAGGGGCTGTAACTGTTCAGGTATAAAAATCAATAATTAAGGAAGGAAACAGTACAACTACAATATCAACGAAAGTAGGAAATCAACAGTTGCACGACACCATCCTTCGTGCTTTTACTCTCATTCTCACCCAAACAATCGTATAAAGTGCACGACATCACCCTTCGTGCTTTACCTCACAATGATGGCATGGAATGATCCTTCGTGCATAAACACTCATATCATGGCACGGAATGTTCCTTCGTGCAATAGTAATCATATCATGGCACGGAATGTTCCTTCGTGCATTAGTAATCATATCATGGCACGGAATGTTCCTTCATGCATTAGTATTCATATCACAATCGTGCACGACATCACCCTTCGTGCTTTATCACTCGTCCTCACCCAAACAACAATCACCAACAATGGGGCGAGGGAATAAACAAACAAAATAGGTATCCCGGCAAGGGAACAATAACAACAATTTCAATATCCCGGCAAGGGAGAAAAAGTCTACCAAACATCAAAACATCCCGGCAAGGGAATAACCAATAACTCATTAGCTTTCTTTCATTTCTTACTTCACATCTCACTATATCACTTGGGCCAATGCTCCCAAGAATCTTATAATCTCAGATACCTTTTTAATTCGTATTACAACCAAGCCACTACACCACTAAAATCAAATGATCATAATGTTTTTCACATGTTCTTTACAATATATAGAAGTCATCAATTAACATGAAATCCACAACAAAATCATGATAATCACCCTATAAGGACTCACGGTCATGCTAGACACCAATGTATAGATACTCGTCACCATGCCTATACATCGTACTCGATCAATTAGCAAATAGCAAACAAGACTCAACTCCTATTCCCTCAATCTAGGGTTAAACCAAACACTTACCTCAACTTCACGGCTAATTCAATCCTCAACAACCGCTTTGCCTCTCGAATTCGGCTCCAACTCAACCAAATCTACGCAATAATGACTTCACATTATCAATATGTGCTAAACAAATCGAACCCAATGTCTAATTATAGCTTTTGCATCCATTTACCCCAAAGGTCAAAAATGCCCCCGGGCCCATATGGTCAAAACCCGAGGTTCGAACCGAAACCCGATTACCCATTCCCCCATGAACTCAGATATATAATTTATTTTGGAATCGGACCTCGAATTGAGGTCCAAAACCCCCAATTTTAGAAAACCTAGGTTCTACCAAAATTTCCCCATTAAAATCTTTGTTTTTAAGTTGAAGTTATGTTTAAAGATGCTAAGGAGTAAAGAAAATGAGTTAGAAATCACTTACGAATCGTTTTGGAGAAGAAGAATCGTTTGGAAAATCGCCTCTTATGTTTTGGGTTTTGAAAAAAGTGAAAAATGACTGAAATTCCCGACCTTATATAACCTCTGAAGACCCAGCGCGGACCGCACAAAAATGGACCGCGGCTGCGCTGAAGAACTGTACACACACCACTCTCTGAACTCTCCAGCGCGGACCGCACAAAGGGGAACGCGGCCGCGCTGGTAGACCTGGGAAATGTTGGCTCTCTGAAGTTAGCTACGCGGACCGCGCATGGACGACCGCGGCCGCGCAGCTTCCACCGCGGACCGCACTAAGGCGACCGCGTCCGCGCAGCACGCACCGCGGACCGCGCTAAGGCGACCGCGGGCGCGCTGGAGCCTGCAACTCCCTGAACCTGCAACATCTGCTATTTCTAAGTCTAAGACCTCCCGGGGCCTACTCAAAACTCACCCGAGCCCTCAGGGCTCCAAACCGAACATACACATAACTCCAAAAACACCCTACGGACTTACCTGTGCGATAAAATCGCCAAAATACATCAAAAACAACGGATCAAGCCTCAAAACTCATGAATTCTTCCCAATTTTCATAAAACATCAATTTTTCTTCCATTTTAAGTCCGAAACACGTCAAACGACGTCTGATTTCAACCAAACTTTACAGAAAGCGTTTAAACCATATATAAGACTTGTATCGGGCGCCGGAACCAAAAATACGGGCCCGATACCACAGTCTTTTAATCAAATTTCATTTCCAGTTCCCTTGATAAATTTCAGAAAAACAATTTCTTTTAAAAATTCATTTTTTGGGCTCGGAACCTCGGATTTCGATTCCGGGCATACGCCCGAGTCCCATATTTCTCTGCGGACCCTCCGAGACCGTCCAATCACGGGTCCGGGTCCGTTTACCCAAAATGTTGACCAAAGTCAACTTTAATCATATTAATATCAAAATTCATCATTTTTTTCACACAGAATTCATATTTAAGCTTTCCCGCTACGCGCCCGGACTGCGCACGCAAATCGAGGCGACTAAAAATGAGGTTTTCAAGGCCTCGGAAGCACGGAATAAATGAGAAAACAGGTGATGACCCTTTGGGTCGTCACACAAAATTGCTTAATAATTTTTTTAATACTTAAATACTCAAATTTACTCAATGATACTCTCAAACTCAAAAAAAAAAAAAAAACTCAGAAGTCAAAAGGCCTTTTCTAATTGTTTACCCATTTTATAGTTCTTTTTCTTTGTAAAAGAGTACTTTTTATCCCTTTCTGCAAAGTGCAAACTACACATAATCTTTATCCTCCAATGCTTGCTATGCTTTCACGCTTGTAGCTTCCTTCTTTACGTTTTAGTTTCTTTAATTTTTTTGTTGTTGCTCTTTTTTGTTTATTCTTTTCATTTTAGTTTTTTATTATGCAAATTTTCTTATGTTATTCCAATTCAGATATTTTATGGAGTCTTTATTCCAAAATATATTCTACTTGTATTGCTATCATGAGTATCTGTGATTTGTTTTATAGTTTTAGATTTTCAAACAATAACTTTTTATTATTTTCAGTTTTATTTTTTAAATTATTAGGAATTAGAGTATCATTTTTTCCAGCTTTAGTATGTACCGTCATTATCATGTTATTGGTGTTCACGCACATTTTAGCATGTTTATATAAATATATACATTTTCCTGTTAATTTTATAGTTTTCTTAATTTTTTTAATAAGTTTTAATATATTCCTGTTAGTTACTCCATATAAGTACTACTATTAATTTATATAATATTAAAATTTGAATATCATGGGGCTTACGCCCGCGCCTCGTGCGATGCATATAAAACCGGGAGAAATTTAAAAATAGCCAGATTTACAACTGGTCATTCAAAAATAGCCCAGTTTCAAAAGTAATCGAAATTTAGCTACTTTTCATGTAAAGATAAATCTGAGCGAAAACACTGTTCAAAACCCGAAAAACACGCCAGTATATTATGCTGGAGTTCCAGCATAAGTATACTTGAACTCCATCATATTATACTGGAGTTCTAGGATAAGTATGCTGGAACTCCAGTATAATATGATGGAGTTCTAGCATAAGTACACTAGAACTCCAGCATAATATACTGGAGTTCCAGCAAGTATACCGGTCCAGCATAATATACTGGATTTTAGAGCACCGGTGTTCCAGTCTCCAATATATTATACCAGCTAAGTATACCGGTCCAGCATAATATGTTGGAGTTCATACACAGGTGCACCGAACTCCAGTATATTATGCTGGACCGGTCTTTGTTACAGCAAAATAGTGGCTATTTTTCATTGAAATAGTAAACGCTGGCTATTTTTGAATGACCGGTCCGAAAACTGGCTATACCGTGCTATTTTGACTATAAAACCTTCGTTTACGCTTTGGGCCTTTTATAACACTGTGTACAATCTGCAAAATTCCATTTTCTTTCTTTTGCTCGCTCGGGAAAGTTTTGAGAAATTTACACTCTCTAAATATGGTGAAGCTTCTCCAGCAGAGTGGTGTTGCTGGTCTGAAATCATGGTCTAAATGTAATCCTACTTCTCTTATCAGATTTTCTACCAATTCTCAAACCCTAGCATCTTCGTCAGAGGAAGACAATCTCAAAAAGCTGATACGTTATGCACCCTCTACTGTGCCCGTTATACCAATAATTAACCAATGGGTTAATGAAGGGAAGACCGCGGAGTATGATGACCTCAAGAAATCTATCAAGTATCTCAGGGCAGTCAGGCGCTTCAACCATGCTCTTCAGGTACCTCTCTCTCTCTCACTCTCTAAATTGCTTTGTTTATTTTGTTTAATTTTTGAAATGGGTTGACAGCAACGTGGTAACCCGGTCAAAGGAGCTAGTCTTGAACTTTTGAACTTTGGGTAGGTTATGTGACCAATTGGCAGAACTTTTGACTTTTGACATTGGAGCCATTGATCAGGTGACCTGCCCAAAGGCCAATAATTAAAGACCAGGTGTCCTATTCTGCCATTTCCGGAACCTACACATCTAATTTTAAGAAGGGGGTCAAGTGCACAAATAGCCGCTACATAGCCGAATTTACAAATTGGATAAAGTTTAGTCAAGCTCCAAGTTCAGACACCTTCTGGCACAAGTTAGGATCTGGCAATTCAAAATGGTCTAAAGTTTGATTATGGTAGTTCAAATTTCATACCTTCGAGTCTGAAGTTAGACTCTGGCATTCAAAATTTTAGACCGGAGTGTCTGAAGAAAGTTTGCCGAAGCTTGCTAAACTTTCAATAGCTTTTAAAAACTGGTTATGTTTTTATTCGGTGCTGTTTCTACTGAGTGCTTTCCTTTCACTATATCATAGTGTGTGTAGTTCATGATCGTTGAGTCAATAATGCTTTGCCAATGAAAGGTTAGGTTTAGATTTGATTTTTGTTCATTGAAAGACGTCATTAATAATCTGAAGCAAACTATGTAACCTAAAATAATACTTTAAGAAGGAAAACTATATTCTAGTATGCAACTCAGGATTGAAAAACTAGAATTCATTCAACTCTACTTATCCAAAAAAACAATAAAAACTAGAGTTGATTCAGCCTTGGGTGCACTCAATTTCTTTTATTTTTTTTGATTCCTTTCCCCCTTGTTTATGCGCTGTGTCCAGATTCAATTTTCTGCTTCTTAATTTTTGTCTCAGATTTATGAATGGATTAACAACTCAGAGCGTCCTCATTTATCGTCTAGAGATGTTGCAGTCCGACTGGATTTGATATCAAAAGCTCACGGTCTGGAAGCAGCAGAGGAGTATTTCGTTAGCATTCCAGATAATCTGAGAGCTCCTTGTGTATATGTCGCTCTTTTGAACTACTATGCTGATGCAAAATCATTGATAAAAGCGGAAGGTACAATGCAAAAGATGAGGGATCTGGGAATTGCTGATGTACTGACTTACACTATTATGATGAAACTGTATGTTAAAATGGGAGATCTTGAGAAACTACACTTGTTAGTGCAAGAGATGGAAGATAAGGGAATTGCTGGTAATGCATTCTCCTACACTATCCACTTAAATGCATATGCATCTGTTCCCGATATTAAGGAGATGGAGAAGCTTTTGATGAAGATGGAAAAAGAACTGCTGCTGATTGAATGGAATGGTTATGCAGTCGCTGCCAAAGGCTACATGAAAGCTGGTGATGTAGAAAAGGCTTCAGAGGTATTGAATAAATGCGAGCACCTAAGTAAGGGGAAAAATGCAAGGCTTGCTAATGAAGTCATTCTTTCCCTCTATGCTAGTATGGGAAAGAAAAATGATGTCTATCGTATATGGAACAAATTAAAGAATAGATGTAATGTCTGCAGTTCAAGTTATCTTTCCATGATAAGTGGACTGGAAAAGTTAAATGATATTGATGGTGCAGAGAAGATATTTGCCGAGTGCGAAGCAAAAGAGGTATATTTTGACATTAGAATTCCAAATCTGCTCATAGCCATTTACGGCAGAAAGGGTCATTTGGAGAAGGCTGAATCCATTATAGAAGGACTCTTGGAGAGTGGGAAGAGGCCAAACTATAGAACATGGGATCATTTAGCACTCGGATATTGTTCACACTATCAGATGGAGAAGGCAGTTGAAACTTTGAAGAAAGCAATCTTGGCTAGTGAGCCACTGTGGAAGCCAAATATTCACAGTTGGGCTCCGTGTGTTGATTACTTGCAATCGAATGGAGATACTGAAAGAGCAGATGAGATTAAAAAATTGCTGGAGGAGCGAGGCCTCTTCTCAGCAGAGTATGAAAAGTCTGAGAACTGCATTAGAAATGGAAATTGTGGTTCCGAAGAACTTGATGTAACAGAAGAACTTGAGGAGACTGGATGACCACTGTTGTAGGAACTCTCTAGGGTACTTGATGGAGGATTACTTGTTTGAGGATGTTAGAATAGAATATTAGAACTGTTAGGTTCTTAAATAGTTAAGTATGATATTTGTTCACATTGGACAACTACCATATGTACATTAGTAAATATCTACGCACAGGTGCGTCTTGTATTTATCAAATTATCAAGTAAGCAATATTATAAATGTTCTCTGTGATTTTCTCACAATCTGTCTTCTCTAAATTAAGATAGTCCCTGGGAAACACTGTGCGCTTTTTTTTGTTTAGCTACATCATTCTATTGAAGTGTTTAAGAGTTGAGAAATATGATATATAATTATTTTGTTATCTGTTCTTGCATTTTTCTATTAGCTTTTCTGACACAAATTGATGAACGAGGATGATATAAACTGGGAAAACACAAATCTGATGGTGTTTTTGGTAATTGGTAGCATGCCAATGAGTTGGTGTACTTTTAGATTGTTATGTTTGGTTTGCTCTTTTTTCAGCCTAGTAAGGTCCTTTTATTTTGGGCATGTTATGTTTGGTTTGCTCTATTTTCAGCCTAGTAAGGTCCTCAAGAGAGTATTTACTTCATACTTCAATCAATAGCAGTTCCTCTGTTTTACTAACAGGACATATCTGATCCAATTCTTCATCTGCCGTTTCTTTTGCAGCATAGGAGTACATATTGATAAGCTTAAAACTTATGTAAGTGGTCTTAAATAAGTACACTTGTCGCAGCTCCATCAGCTTTGGGCTACCAATCAAACTATTATGACCCTGAACTCCCAGGAAATTCTTCAGGTTTGCAACAGGAAGACCAGTTTCTTTAAAAGATATGTAGAATTGTTTCTCTTTTCATTTGCATTTAATTTTGAAGTAAAGTTGTTTGACAGTTGAGGGAAGGAGGGGGGGGGGGGGGGGTTTAAAGGAGGAAGAGGAGGTAAAATTAGGTTTAAGGTTTAACAGTTTTGGGGATTTTGCTGATAATTGATTACTTTCCTAATCTTATCTAACTGATAGAATTGTTTTTCTTTAAGCTCCAATTTTTTAAATTCACAAGGCAAAGCTCCATTTTTGAAATTCACAAGGCAATTGTTTTTCTTTAAGCACTCGATATCTGAAACCCAATAAAGTAATTGTTTCTGGCAATAATTTGGATTAGCGACGGATAAATCCATTAAGGAGGGATAATACTCTCTATTGTACGATTTCTATTTTTAGACCTCGAACTTAAATCTTTGTTAGGAATAAAGAGATTCAACTATCCAACACTCTTTTCTTTTATACAACATGGCTTTTTTGTTCTTTTTATTTTTGACATAGGGTCGACTTAAATAGAGCATTCAACGGGAAGCTTTCGTAAAAGTTTTTTTTTTCTTTTTGTTTTTGTTACTCTTCGACTGGGAAGAGAGGGTAAGAGACTGATGAGATAATATATTTACTCCCTCTGTCTCATTTTATGTGATGGAATTTGACTGGACACAAAGTTTAAAAAAAGAAGTTATATTATCTTTTACTATAGAAAGGTATCATTCTTTGTGGTACTAAATCACATAAATTGGGACATAGTGGATGTTAATTTAAGTAGCTTTGTCAACGACGCGTAAGTTCACAGGATGCGGTCCATCTACTTTATGCCGGCAAGCCAAGAGATGATAAATTCCAAAAAATATTCTCCTTGTATTGAAGTATTTGATATTGTGTGATTACCTTAACTTGTTCAAATGTTTTTCTGATATATAATAGAAATAGTTTACATTAATTTTGAAAATAATACTTATTGGCATTAAGTCATCTGAAATCACTAATTTCTCAACTCTTGAAGAATCTCCAGCAGAGTATTGCTGGTCTGAAATTATTATGGTCAGGCCCTACTTCTCTTATGGTTCTCCGATTTCCGTCGTATGATACCAATTCTGAAACCCTAGCCTCTTCCTCAGCAGCTCCAATTTCAAAGGAGGAAGACAATCTCTACCAAAGGCTGATATTGCATGCACATTCTACTGTCTCCATTCTTCCAATAATTAAGCAGTGGGTTAGTGAAGGAAAGTCCGTTAAGTATGAGGACCTCAAGAAAGCTATCAAACAACTCAAGGCATTACGGCGCTTCAAGCATGCTCTCCAGGTTCTTTCTCTCTCTCTAAATAGTTTCTTTAATTTAGTTTAACGTTGAAGCGGGTCAACAGTGACATTAGTGGGTTTAAAGAATAACCTAAATTACAAACTATTTAATATTTACCCGTCTCAGGATCAACTTCAGGTCTGAGACTGAAGTGGAAACTCCCAGGTATTAAGATTCAAACTTCAGACCTATGGGTCTAAAGTTGTGGTCTGAAGTGGGGGACTACCAAGTCTAACTTCAGAACCAAATGTGGGTCAGATTGTTTCTTCAACCTGTAATTCAATCATGCCCTTTAGCACAGTAATTTCGTCATTTTTTCTCCAAAATCATTGGAACAACTGCCTTTTCACATCCTCAGTGGGCGTTTACTTCTCTGAACTTCCAATCTCTTTTTCTTTGGTTTCCTCTTCGAGCCCTTAAATTACTTTGCTCCATCGTCATCCACCAGCCGTTTAGCTCGTGTGCTAGTGGTGGAAGCTGTACAATAGAGATCACCTGCAAATTCAAAGAAGAAGAACAAGCAGTAAATTGTCTGAAGTTGCCCTCTTCAGGCTAAAATTTAAATACTTTGGAAAAACTGGGTAAGCTTTAAATAACACATGTACAAACGGATACCTGGTGCAAATCCTACGACTGGTCCTCGCTAAACGGGTTGGGCCAAGCCAATGGTAAAAATGATACCAGGTAGCCACTTTTAGGGCATACGTTGAGATATAGCTATCCATTAAGTGTTTGAATAATAGCCACAACTTTAAAATGCCAACGAGTTTGAAAGATAAGCCACTTTTTTTGAACTTTAGGACTGTTTCAGTTTTTTTCCTTTCTGATGTTTTTTCCCTGAAGTTTGAACTGCTGTAGGAACTTCAAGAAAAAATCCTGAACTTACAGTTCAAACTTTAGGATTCTTCCTGAAATTTGGACTGAACTTCAGGAAATTGATAGACAGAAACCAAACCCCTTGTTTTGCTTGGGGATGAAGCAACAGTGGAACTAGTCTTACAACAGATATCATCTTTAAATGTGACTGAGCATATTAAATCTTCAACAAAACACAAACAACATGAAGAGCGCAAGAGTACTGAGTACCTAGATATGTACACTAAATTCCATACATGGTCAATAATCACAATGGGTTACTTTGCCTGTCATCGACTTGCTCTGCTGCTGCCTCGCACACTAACATGTTTGTTTAACACATGTATATATTTTAAAGTTAAATTGGGAGCAAATGCAACCCAAGGTTATCTTTTGTTTTTTCTTCTCCTTTTCTTTTCTTATTTTGGAAAGAATATATGAAAGAAAGAACTGTGTACAAAAACATTAAACTGCATGTCACATAACATGGTAATGGCAATGGTGCCTTGGAAATAAAAGGTTTAAGGTTTGAAATTTGTTCTATGACACTATTGCATAGACATTCTTAATAATCTGAAGCAATGATATCAGTAACATAAAATAATATGTTAAAAAGGAAAACTAAATTCAAGTTGCAACTCAGGAGTGAACGATTAGAGTTGACTCAACCATGCTGCACTCACTTAATAATAAGTGCAAATTGGTCTAGCCTCTAGGTTCCAGCAATTTTTTTCTTCACGTTTCCCCCCTTTTTACTGTGCTGTGCAGAGGCGGCTTAACCCCCAGGCAGCTAAAGCGGCCGCTTTAGGCCTCACAAAATTAAAGGCCCCAAAAACTACTCTTTTTATATAATTTAAATATTATTATACTTATTATTAAATAGTGATAAGAAATTTTTTCAACCATCTTTTGCTACCTTGTCACCAATCATTAATAACATAGTTTTATATTTTATGTTATCTTTTTTTGGAGTTGGGGTAAGGTCTGCGTACACACTGCCCTCCCCAGACCCCACGAGTGGGATTTTACTCGGTTGTTGTTATTCTTTTTTTTTTTTGGGGGGGGGGGGGGGGGGGAAGTTGGTTGAGAAAATTCAAATGAAAGTGAAAGACAATTAAATTTGTAATTACTTCCTAGTTCTTCTTACTCCAACTTGAATAAATTTTATTTACAACTCTAACTTTGTAAGATATTTTCTTTCAAGATCTTTGTACACACGCTTCAAGCTAATTAGATTGTAAAATATTTATCATCTTTGTAAATACAAATTCCTACATGATTGTTACTTTGGGAGGCAAATAGTGAGTTATGTTGATGGTCATGTGAAAAGAAAAAATTAAAAATTAAACTTAGTAAAATTTATCAAAGGTTAGTAATGTTTCAACAAAGATTAAAGGTTGGTTATAGATGAAATTGCATCTCAAAAAGTAAAACGAATAAACTTCAACAAAAATATCTAAAATTATTAAACAAGTTTAAGGCCTCGTATTACGTCTTGGCTTTAGGCCTCCCAATACCATTGAGCCGCCTCTGGTGCTGTGTCAGGTTCAGTTTGCTTCTTATGTTTGTTTCAGATTTATGAATGGATTAACAACTCTGAGCGTCTTTATCTATCACCTGGAGATGTTGCAGTTCGGCTGGATCTGATATCAAAAGCTAACGGTCTGAAAGCAGCAGAGAAGTATTTCGCTAGCACTCCAGATATTCTGAGAGCTTCTTGTGTGTATGGTGCTCTTTTAAACTGCTATGCCGATGCAAAATCATGGAGTAAAGTGGAAGGAACAATGCAAAAGATGAGGGATTTGCAGGATGCTACTTTAGTGACTTATACTATTATGATGAACCTTTATGCTAAAATGGGAAACCTTGAGAAACTACACTTGTTAGTGCAAGAGATGGAATATAAAGGAATTGCAGGTGATAGTATCTCCTATAATATCCGCTTAAATGCATATGCATCTGTTCCTGATGTAATAGGGATGGAAAAGCTTTTGATGAAGATGGAAGAAGATCCTCCGCTGATTGAATGGGATGCTTATGCAGTAGCTGCCAAGGGCTACATGAAAGCTGGTGATGTAGAAAAGGCTTCAGAGGTATTGAAAAAATGTGAGTGCCTTAGGGGAAAAAGTTGCTAATGAGACGCTGCTTACCCTCTATGCTAGTATGGGAAAAATGATGTCTATCATATGTGGAAAAAATTAAAGAATAAAGGTAAGGGTTTCCTGTTTAAGTTATCTTTGCATGATGCGTGGACTGCAAAAGTTAGATGATATTGATGGCTCAGAGAAGATATTTGCTGAGTGGGAAGCGGATAAAGTAAATTTTGACATTAGAATTCCAAATTTTCTCATATGCATTTACTGCAAAAAGGGTCATTTGGAAAAGGCTGAATCTGTTATTGAAAGACTCTTGGAGAGTGGGCTGATGAGGAGAAACTATAGGGCATGGGATGATCTGGCACAGGGATATTGTTCACAAAATCAGATGGAGAAGGCAGTTGAGACATTGAAGAGAGCAATCTTGGTTAGTGAGTGTAACGACCTGGCCGGTCGTTTTTAGAATTTACGCCCTGATCCCCTATTAACTGCTTCCCCCGTGTTTGTTTCTGCTATTTTGATTCGCCGGGATGTTTGGTTTTGAGTTTCGGAGTGTTTTGGGACACTTAGTCCCTAAATGAGAGCTTAAGTGTTAGAAATTTGGCCGTAGTCGGACCAGTGTGAAGACGGCCTCGGAATGGAATTCCGATGGTCCCGTTAGCTCCGTTGGGTGATTTCGGGTTTAGGAGCGTGTTCGGATTGTGTTTTGGAGGTCCGTAGCTAATTTAGGCTTGAAATACCGAAAGTTGAATTTTTGAAGTTTCCGGTTCGATAGTGAGATTTTGATCCGAGGGTCGGAATGGAATTTCGGAAGTTGGAGTAGCTCCGTAGGGTTGAATGTGACGTGTGTGCAAAATTTCAGGTCATTCGGACAAGGTTTGAAGACTTTTTGATCGAAAGTGTAATTTGTGAGTTTTTGAAGTTCTTAGGCTTGAATCCGATGTTAAATTGGTGTTTTGATGTTGTTTTGAGTGTTCCGAAGATCGGAACAACTTTGAATGATGTTTTAGGATTGGTTGGCATGTTTGGTTGAGGTCCCGGGGTCCTCGGGTGTGTTTCGGATGCTCAACGGGTCATATTTTGGACTTAGGAAATTGCAGAAAATTGCAGCAGGTCAGTTCTGGTTTCCTTCTTCGCGTTCGCGAGTGGGCAATCGCGTACGCGAAGAGGAGCTGGGGCTGGTGGAGGTTTAACGCTTCGCGTTCGCGTAGGAGGAGAAAATTGGTCATCGCGTTCGCGTCTGGGGCATCGCGTTCGCGAAAGAGGAAAGCTGGACCAAGCGAAGTTGTGCTTCGCGAACGTGAGGGTCCTTCCGCGTTCGCGAAGAAGGAATTATCTGGGCAGTATTTAAATAGCCAATCCGCGACTCTTCTTCATTTTTCCACCATTTTTGAACGGGGTTGAAGCTTTTGAGGGAGATATTTGAGGAAACCAAAGGGGAATCACTTGGAGGTAATATTCTTGACTTCATAACTCGTCTATATGTGATTAAAGGTCTAATTAGTGGTGAAAATTAGGGAAAAATCAGTGCAAAATGGGTAATTAGGGCTTGAGATTTAAGAGACCTTAAAAATGGGTATTTGAGGGGTCAATTGAACTCCGATTTCAGTGTTTTTGATATGTATAGACTCGTGAGAGTATGAGGATTCTGAAAATGTAAATTTTACCCGATTCCGAGACGTGGGCCCGAAGGGCGTTTTGGTCATTTTACCTTATTTCACATATTAGCTTAGAATTTATTTGTAGAATCAGTTACTTGAAGTGTTATTTACATTATGCAATTGAATTGAATAGATTTTGACCATTTGGAGTCGAGCACTCGTGGCAAGAACGTGGTTTCAGGTTGATTTTGAGCCGGTTCGAGGTAAGTGGCTTGTCTAACCTTGTGTGGGGGAAACTCCCCTTAGGATTTGGTATTATTGATATTTGAAATGCCTTGTACGTAAGGTGACGAGTGCGTACTTGTGCTAATTGTTGAAAAATCCGGTTTTCATTAAGTATTTAGAATTGTGTTTTCCTTTCCTGTTTATACTACTTGCAAGTTAAGCCTGTTGTTAGCTTAGGGAAGCATGCCTAATTGATTTAACTGCTTATTTGTTCTAGTGCCCTATTTGAATTATGTGCAGCATGCTAGGTTAGAAATACCTGCTTTACCTTGGTGTGAAATTTGATTGAATTGAGTATTCTTCTTGTTGTTGCTGTGTATTTACTTTGGGACTACGGGACGGTATCCCGGGAGATCCCTTGTATGTTTACATTTGGGACTACAGATTTGTATTCCGGAAGATCCCCCTGCACTTTTACATTGGAACTACGGGATTGCACCCGGTAGATTCCCCAGTATTGAGTATTTATATTTGGGACTATGGATGTAGTATTCCGGTAGATCCCCGCGCATTTATGAGTTGGACTACGGGACTGCACCCGGGAGATCCACTAGATATTTATATTTGGGGACTACAGGACGGTATCCTGGGAGATCCCTCGGTTGTTATCTCTGCGTTGAGCTGTATTTATTTTTCCGTGATTACTTTGTTTCTGTTAAAGTTGCCGTTGTTCTTCTATCCTGTGTTACTTTTTTACTGTTGCACTTAAGTATACTGTCTTATTCTACACTGTTATTATATTTTGTATTTCCTTTAACCTCAGTAGGGCCCTGACCTTCCTCGTCACTACCCGACCGAGGTTAGGCCTGGCACTTACTGAGTACCGCTGTGGTGTACTCATGCCCTTCCTGCACATGTTTTTCATGTGCATATCTAGGTTCTTCGACTCAGCCCTACCATCCTTGAGGCGGGGTGATCCATCAGAGACTTCGAGGTATGTCTGCCGCGTCCGCAGACCGAGGAGTCCCTTTCCATTCTTGCTCATAGTATTAGGCCTTCTGTATTTACTTTTGTTTAGACACTCTGGAGTTAGAACACTGTAGTTATTCCATAGCTTGTGATTTCATGAGATTCCGGGTTTTGGGAAATGTAGTTCATTATAAGAGTTTGATTTGTATTATTTTTGCAGTTTGGATAGTTTATTTCTGTTATTTCTTTTTTTTTTCCCGCAAATTGTTAGGCTTACCTAGTCGTAGAGACTAGGTGCCGTCACGACAGTTCACGGAGGGCGAACTTGGGTCGTGACAGTGAGCCACGATGGAAGCAATGCATTCGCGGTTGGGCTTCCTGTGTTAATTACCTGCAGTTGAATGGAGACTCTGAAAGAGCAGAAGAGATTAAACGATTGCTTGAGGAGCGAGGCGTCTTCTCAGCCGGGTATGAAAAATTGGGAAAGATTACTTGTGTTAGAACATAACACATTGATGTTAGAGGGTTAGATTAAAATCTTACTATTAGAACGGTTAAGTGGTGGTGTTAGAATGTTAGAAGTGCTAAATTCTTAATATGATAGTGTTCACATTGGACAAATACCATATGTATATTGGTTGGTACCTAAAAATAGCCGTGTCTTGTATTTATCAAATTATTGATGAATCAATATGATTCTTCTCCGTTATTTCCTCACTATCTGATTGTTCTAAATTAAGATATCCTTCCCTGGGAAACTCTGCTTGCTTTTAGATGGTTTTGTTTAACTGATTATATAAAACTGGAAAAATACAAATCTGATGGTGGTTTTGGTAGCAGTCCATGTTATGTTTGTGTTTTTCTTTCTTCAGCCTAGTAAGGTCATTCCGATATTATCTTCTTCCCACTTCAATCAATAGCAGCTACTGCGTTTTGCTAACAAGACAATGGGATTCAATGTATATAAATTCAATTGTTGGCCCGCCCTCATTTTTGCAGCGTAGGCGTTTAGGGAAAAAATAAAAAATAGCCAGATTTACAACTGATAATTGAAAATAATCGAAATTTAGCCACTTTTTCGTGTAAAGATTAAATCTGAACAAAAACACTTTAATTGCTGAAATATTCCAGCATAATATGCTAGAGTTCTAATTTTTAATTATGACCTTCCAGCATAATGTGCTGTAATTTCATAATGTGCTGGAGTTCCAACATAATATGTGGGAAGTTTATATGCAGGAACTCCATAATCCAGCATATTATGCTGGAACTTTCCGTGTGTTGGAGTTCCAACATAATATGCTGGAAGCTAAAACGGAGGAGCTCCATAATCCCGCATATTATGCTGGAACTTTCCGTGCTTCAATAAAATAGTGGTTATTTTTCAATAATTTAACACTGGCTATTTTTCGATTACCAGTCCGAAAACTGGCTAGCCCGTGCTATTTCACCGTTTTTGATTAAGGACACCTGAAGCAGCTCCATTAGATTTGGGCTACCAATCAAACTATTATAGCCCAAAATTTCCCAGGCAAAACTTCAAGTTAGCAACATGGAAGCGTAGTTTCCTTTAAAAGAAATGTAAAATTGTTTCTCTTTTCTTTTGCATTTAATTTTGAACTAGAGTTATTTTACAGTTGAAATAGAGGCTGGATATGCTTTGTTGATACTTCAGATCTAAAGTCTTTCACTTAAAACCATTTTTACTATTCTAAACCTTGCACTCCCCTACTTTAAATTTATTGAATTTGATGAGTTACAATTGTTTTTCTCTTCTTCGGACAAATAACTGTAGAGACAAGATGTAGGCTAGCTAGGTTAAATTACCTTGGTCTTGTTCAAATAAGTCTGCCCTTTGAAATATAATAGGCTTATCTTGTCTTTCTGCCCAACTTTAATTATGAATTATGATGTAGGAGAAGGATTCTTTGGAGGGGAGGGAATGGGGACAGAATATAAAAGAAATATATTTTAGAAGCCATCACTGGCCAGTATGCAATTATAGAGAAACATGACAATAATTTTGTGATTGCAAAAAGAATGTAAATTGCATGGGAATGGTGAAACATTATTTTATCAAGAAGAATATGATGCTGCATGACATTATCAAGGAACAAAAAGTCATTTTAATATTTGAAAAAGGAAAGTTGCATAATTATTGGGATGCCTATAATGTGTCTGGTTCAAATGATATGTGACAAAGGCATGTTGATGCATTAAACAATCATATAAAATAAAGTTCATTGTAATTTATTGGAGTATAATATGATCTACAACTTGTGCAAAGTAGATACGACTACGCATTTTCTACATGAAATCAGAGTGGCCCTAACATAGTTTATACCTACTATATTTGTCTTGGATTCAGCACCATTTGTCAACTTGTTTCTTTGTTTATTTGGGAGCAAGACAATCCTATCCTATCCAATTTATGTGGGGTGGCCATTATGCAAACATAATTCCTAAAAGTGTTGTAACAAAGTTATGTCTTCTCTTTCCAATAAAAGGATAGCTCAATATAGCTACGTGCATAGTCCCAAAAAAGGGTCGGGACTATATTGAGTTTATCATACGCATCCTTACTTTACATTTTTGCATTCACAGCTTGAACTTAATTATCTCCTGATCATACGGCAGTAACTCTGCCGTTATGTCAAAACTCCTTGTGATTATATCAAACTCTTTATGGTAGTTAATTAACTGTAAATTTCTTCGTTTCCTTTTCAAATAACATAACTTCCATACATGATGCTTGTGTCAAGTTGACACTAATTTGGACATGCAAAAAAGTAAGTAGTGCAGAATGCTAGATTAAACCTATATTGGATGTTGAAGTGCTAACAATTCCTTTCTTTAGTGTAAGTGATTCTGGATTAGGTGGACATCGACTTATCAAACACTAACTTAAAGAAGTGGAAATCCTTAGGTAATTATTGTTGAAGGTCTATCATATTTGACAAAGAAACACAGAGAGTGTTTGCTTCAGATTTCTTTAAGGGAAATATATAATTATAAGTTTGAAGAAACCATAGGCTTTTCACTCTAGAAATTGCTTTAATGGGATATATATCCATTGATAATATCAGGAGGAGAAATTAAAAGTAAAATACAAGTGTTAGCTAGTTTCGATTGCGCCAGAGTTACTGAATATATGTACTAGTGGAAAATAATAGATATCAATAAAATAATTGAGGTATGTACAAACTGAAAATAGACGTATATTAGCTAGCTAGTCTCAGCTTGTTTTATCCATTTCTTTCGATCTTTCCAAGGACTAGGATTGTGCGCAAACAGAGAAAAAACAAACGGTCATGATCTGAATAAACCATTTAGTTGCATAAATGATTTTTTTTCTCTCTGATAAAATCATTTCACCGTTTAATTAGCTTTTTCCAATGAAAATTATTTCTTTTAAGGATGAAAAACATAATTTTGGTCACTTATGTAGAACGTCAATTCTCTTTACGAATTTCCCAAAATCTTATTCTATATCACTTGTTTCAACTTCCATTTTGTGGTTGTTGACTATTGTACTTAAAAAGTATGAATAACAAATACTATTCTTAAGCATATCCTCTATCTTGTAAGATTATCATCATACGTTTAATTTTTCTGACAACATTAGAGAACGATTTGATTTACCAAAATATAATATTTCTAATGAAAAATAATGTTAAATATATAATATTTTTTGTCGTACCAAACACATTATTTTTAAAAGCCATCCACCAGCACTTGTCGGTGTTAAGTGTTAACCTAATCATAGATAAGGACAAACGTATAGAGGTGGCCAATTTCCCTTCGAGATGTCGATGCCTTGATTTTGACATGGTGTAATGTATGCCATTTTTTCCAATCCACATGCCCCTAGTGCTTTGAAAATTCAATACATGTGAAAGTTATTAACTTTTTTGTTTTTGTGAGTTCAACTGAATACCCTACCCTGCTCTTCTTCTTTTTATTTTTATTTTTATAGACAAGTAGGGGTGACATTTGAATCCAAATCCATCCAACCCACTCAATTCGCCCAGAAATTAATGGGTTAGGCTACAAATATTTTAGCTCATGGATCAATTTAGGGAGAAATTCAAAAATAGCCAGATTTACAAGTGGTCGTTCAAAAATAACCCAGTTTCAAAAGTAATCGAAATCTAACTACTTTTTATGTAAAGATAAATCTGAGCAAAAACACTGTTCAAAACCCGGAAAATACGCCAGTATATTATGCTGGAGTTCCAGCATAAGTATACTTGAACTCCAGCATATTATACATTTATACTGGAGTTCCAGGATAAGTATGCTCGAACTCCAGCATAATATGATGGAGTTCCAGCATAAGTACACTAGAACTCCAGCATAATATACTGGAGTTCCAGCAAAGTATACCGGTCCAGTATAATATGTTGGAAGTTCATACACAAGTGCTCGAATCTCCAGTATATTATGCTGGAACTTTCCGTGTGTTGGATTTCCAGCATAATATGCTGGAAGTTCATACACAGGTGCACCGAACTCCAGTATACTATGCTGGACCGGTCTTTGTTGCAGCAAAATAGTGGCTATTTTATATTGACTTGGTAAACGCTGCTATTTTTGAATGACCAGTCCGAAAACTGGTTAGACCGTGCTATTTTTATGTTAATTTAGGCTGAGCCCAAGTTAACCCATTATTTTTTAAAGCCCATTCTGATCCATTAAGCAGCCCAAATACATCCCATGAAACTCACCCATAACAAAAGGATCTCAACACAACTTATCTAGAAATTTACTTAGTTGCCCCAGTTTAACTTTTTTTTGTTATTTTCTGCACCCCCCCCCCCGTAAAGACTCCCTCAAATTTATTTTTTACTTTTTTTTATTTTTAAATTTCTGTTTTTTTGTTTTTCTGCACCACCCACAATTGGTTAGTAATTTTGAGAAATTAGCCGGTGTGGCCATAAAAAAAATTTCACCTTTTTTCGAATGTTTTTTTTCTTTTCGAAATTAGTGTTTGGTTATGAAAACTTCAAATTTCACTTTGAAGTTGTCATCTATTACAAAAACTAAGTATTTTTACAAAGTATTAGCAAGCGGAGAAGGTGGTCAGAACAAGAGAAGACATGTCACTAAACAACAACATAGGAAAAAACAGATTCTGCTAAGTGATCTATCAGCCTGTACTAGTTGCCTTCTTAACCTTGGACTACTGCTGCCTGCTAAATTATATGAAGTTGGATATGTATATAAAGTAGTTGATGAGTTTCCAAACATCCGCGCATAAACCAATTCCCCTGTTGTGGTGCCACCAGGACTTAGCATAGGTTCGGACATGTAGCTAGAAGTATAAGGTTGATGTGTTGGAGACTGCTGAAGTTGATGGGATCGATATGAATCAGTAGGTGCTATCAATGTGTGACCCCCACATCTCGGACTAGGAGGCCTTTGTGGTATGACTATGCCAAGATTGGGGGCCTTGACATCAGATGGTTTTGTAGCTTGGCCGCGACCATAGAGTGGAATCAACGTTTTCTGTGAGACTTCAGCCTTGCAAACAGGACATTGTGGCTGTTGGTGATCAGTATTTTCGGTCGGTTTGCTCTGAAAATAAATCCATTTGTAGATGCAAGGCCAACAATATAAGTGACCGCAGAATGTAACAACAGGATCATGTACAAGATCCAAGCATATATTACACTCAAAACCTCCAGAGACATTGTCGTCAAGCTTATCATCAACTCTCTTACACTTCTCCAACGAAATATCGTGTTCGTCAAAGTTGGTGTCTGTTATTTGCTCCTGGAAAAGCTGCTCTAAGGCCATAGTATGCTTCTTGATGTAATTCTCTGTTTGTTAATATATGCCTGTTAAACATATGCCAAGGTTAGATTTTCAAGAACTAGAAACAAGAAACTTGTGAACTATATAAGGCAATATTTCTTTTCTCAGACCAAACTGGAAAATGATTCTAAGATTGGCCAAACCAAACTATTAAAGGGGGTTAGGCCAAATATAAGGAGGATCTTATTAATTCTAATCCATCAAAAGAAACTATGTTGTCCACAAACTCTCCAAATATAGGTTGCTGAGAAACATCTACGTGGCAAGGTGTGGTTCCTTTGATGAGGATTTAATTTCATAAATCTATATTAGTCGAAACTAATAGCGTATGCCTTCAGGCACCAGAGGAAATATAAGAAACAGACACTCATAAAGTTTGATTTTTTCACAGAAAATTGATGACACCTTCATCCAAATTCACATTCAATGCCCATAAAATCCATATAGGAATACTCCACGTATAGACAAACCGATCACCCTCAAAAAGAAAGGTAGAAATACCAAAAAAAACCCACTTAAAAAACGAAAAAATTAAAACCCCACTAAAGAAAAAAAAGAGGGAAATTTCGAGACATACCTAAATATGTTAATAATATCAAGATTGTTCCTGAAACTGGATACAAATATCAGAATGTTCAATCCAAATAGTTGGTCTTGTTATGTGGTCTTAAATAAAGTGAAAGATGAAGTTTTATAGCGAGAAAACAAGTAATAATATGTATATTCTGTGGAAACAGAGGTGAAAGTAGAAGGTGGAAAGATAAAGTAGCGTTGAAGAGGAGATGAAGGAAGATGTTTGAGTTGAGGTCTATATATATATACTGCTTTTTTAAGACGCGCCTATAGTTACAGGTTTCTGTATGTATAGCCAATTCAGCGCGTATAAATATAGTAGTAGTACTATATAATATAAAATTATTATAAGGGTATTTAATTTTAATGGTCACACTTCTTCTGGATTGAAAAGGGAAAAATAAATAATTGGAAACTCACGAGCCTTTTCACTCGTCATCCAGTATTTATTCTTTTTTCTTTTTAAACTTCCATCTCCTTGGCTTTAACGATTCCCCATTTATCAACATTAAATTTTTAAATATAAAGTTAATTTTTTTATCTATCTCAATTTATATGACACACTTTTCTTTTTGGCCAATCCGAGAAAGAAAGTCATCTTTTTCTATTTTGAAACAATTTATCTTTAGAATTTCTATTTGAATTAATTTACAACCATACAATTGGTTTAATTTAAACCACAAGTTTCAATTTTTTTTAAAAAAATTTCATGTCGTATCTATGGTTTTCTATATTTATCCTAATTTACAATCATAAATTTTATATTTTTTTTTATTGTCTGTGATATATAAGCATAATACAATTAGTTTTTTATTACAAAAATTAATATTATAATTTTAATAAAGTAAATTAAAAGTTGAATAACCATTCACAAATTTAATTTGTGAATCTTCTATTGATGATGAATTAGATATATATTCTCTCTTTTTTTTTTTTTTTTTTGGTAAGGAGGACCCGCAACCGTTACATCCTCTGCCATAGCTTCTGCGCTTCGGGTGAGCATTCTGTGCGCACTGGGTAAATCCCATGTGCAATTGCCTGCAAACCACATAGGGAATGTAAACCGCACTAGGCAAGCCCTGTGTGACAGGCTCAACTCAGAAGGCATTGAAGGGGGATCGACCAAATCATCCGTATGAATGACTACTCTCCAAACCAACTAGGCACCCCGAAGGGATTAGATATATATTCTGCTACGTTCAGAATAAAAGAAAGAGATGAAATAAGTCAATCAAGTTTTGCCAAAAGTAAGTAGCAGTTTGACAAAACTATGAAGTTCTCTATTATTCATTTCACCACGATTCGGATTGAATTTATGCTTTATCAATTTATTTCGTGAAGCATTAAAAATCGATGAGGTTTATACTTCTTTTCGATTCCCGGTCTTTCTAAGTAAGATTAAAATATGGAAGCTTTCGATTAAACATTCTTTAAACTTATAACCTATTGTAATGGACAAGCTCAATGTCACCTCAACTTGCTTTAGCTAATTAATGTAAGCTATATTTTCCTTCTTTGTTAGATTTTGGTTACTTTGTTAATCATTTAATTATTGAAACAACTAACCAAATATTAGATTAAAATCCGATCGAAACGTGTCCTTACTCTTAATTTTTATTTTTAGAACTTCCCAATCCTTTTTTTTTTTTTTTTTTTTTCGTTAACCTTTACCTTTAACGTTTTTTGTTTTTTTTTTTTTTACCAAAAAGAAGTATAAACCTCATCGATTTTTAATGCCACGCTATGAAATACATTGATAAAGCATAAATTCAATTCGAAAGTAGTAAATGAGCAACATATAATTGAAGATCTTATATGATGATTAGTTAAATAAAAGTTATTTTATGTATCAATTTTAACAATTCTGACAACTAGTTTTGGTATATCAAGAGATATCACAATTGCCAAAATAATATTTACATTACATTTGCAAGTAAAAGAATAATTCAACAAATCTGGAATAAAATAATACCGGAAGGTTCACAAGAAGCTTCTATATCTTCAAGTGATTAATATTTGGTTTGTCACATCTTATTTCAAGTAATTTATAAACAAGTAAACAACTTAACTTAGCCACAATCTAAACCTTAATCAGTAACAATCTATATATATATATATATATATAAAGGAGGGAATCAAAAAGCTGATGTGGCACATCCCAAATACCAGCATTGGTATTTATCTTTTTTCTTGGTTTTTTGCTCTTCTCCCTAATTTTTTCCATTTATTTGTTTTATTTTAAATGCAAAAACCCAAACGTCACTTCTTTACTTCTCTTAGAATAGCCTCTGTGGGACCGTCTCTGCCAAATTAAAACATTGGTAACATTTCAGTTACTCATCATCAAGATCCATAATGACTAACCAAAACTAAAACATATCAGAATTTGAAAAGCCTCACCATTTGATAAATTGGAGACTATAAAATTGGTTTTACAATGTGGTTTCTCTTTAGTTTTCTATTCGAGTTATTCGTTTCAATCAACCAACTTTCGAGATTAGAAACTACATCTTTATCTGCTAATTAGTTGCGTTCTCATATAAGGGCATATGAATTGTTTGTATTGTACGAAGCTTCGAAAAAATGAGATGTCGGCAAAAATTGATGAATAGAGAAATTTCCAATTACGAAACTCTTCGCCAAGGTATTTTGTATGTTTGTGATAGTCTCTTTCTAATCTCTCTGTAATTTTAACTTGTGGGGCTTTCTCTTTTTTTTTTTTTTCATGTATAAAGCTTTACTTAATTTTTTAATTCATTTTTACACTTTCTGTTTACTCAAAGCAAAATGATGTGGATATGTAGTGATCAATATTCATTTCAGATTCTCAGAGAATAGTTCTAATTTTGTGATACAAACTGCTCCTTTCTCTATGATTTAGCGGCTTCAATGGTATCCTCTGTAAATCCCCTATGTGCTGAATTTATAGGTGAGGGTGATAAGATGTTGATAGAAAAATTTATTTGGGGAAAGAATCAACACTCTAGGAAAATTTTGAAAAAAGAAATCTGGGGTTAAAAAGGATTTTGCTTGGTTATTCGGTGGGATTCAATATCCCGTGAAAAGGGCTGCAAATTTTAAGGGGTGCGAGAAATTAAAAGGGAAACAAAGAAAAAGGTAAAAGGTTAAAGGAAAAGAATAAGGAATGGAAGACAGAAATGAAAATGGAAAAAAACAATTGCAGAAGATCCGAATTGCGAATCACTTATGATCGCTTTTTCTTCCTCTTCTTTAATTTTTGTAGTGATACAAAATAAAGAAAGAATGATTAAAAGTCAAGTAAATATTTATAAAAAAAAATGGGAGTTATTATTAAAACTCAATATATTTAAAGATGTCTAATAATTATGTGAAAAGAATAATTTTAAACTTTAGTCTGAGCTTTTTCAGTTTATCTTTTTTTTTTATAAGTATATCATTTATTTATTTTAATTTTCATTTTACAAGTTCACAAGCATATGCATTGATGAGCTCTTTGATATATTCTGGATGTTTAGAATATGTCTCGAGTACAATATTCTAATGTTTACGGGCAATATCAAACATCATCATTTTGGTCAATAAATTTCCGTCTCACTTCTCACTTCTCACTTATTTGGAGAAAAGAGATATATTTCACCAAATTAGGAAGAAAAAAGAGGGATTTTGTTATGTGACTTGAGACTGATTGGATATGCAGTTATAAGCCCAGGAGAAATAAGAATAAGAGAAGTGTAAAAAAAAAGAAGTAAAAGGAAATAAAGAATAAACGAAACAAAAATGTAACATAATAGTCAGTTTGACATGTTTGAAGAAGCAGCAAAGCAGTCTTTTGGGAATACGTTAATACTTGAAGTTCCCTCCTATGTTTACCTAGGGAGAAATTAGGCTAGACATTAAAAATTACTTTTCATAAAAATTGTTTAAATATATCTAATGATCTAAGCTACTGCATTGGTATAGACTTCATGGTATATAATCATTTTATTGATAATAAACACTTTAATGTTTGAGTATAGTGCTCAAAAGAATATAGTTTGAGGAAGGGTGTTCTTTGAGTAATGATCCTGAAAGAAATTAAAAAAAATTAAATATATTTGAGATTATACAATGTTTTAATTCCCGCCATCTTTTGTCAATGTAATATAATACTTGTGAGCCTATTAAACTTTCTCCTTATATATTCAATTTTATTTTAAGCATTTAATTTTTTAAATCATCATTCATATTTTATCCTTTTTCTTAAAGTATTTATAAAGCATTTGTTGAAGTGACGTGGTGGAGTGGATATATGTTATTTATGCTACTGATCACAGAATAAATTGGATGCCCCTCTCTTGTAAGTTGTAACATGTATAGTGCTTGAATTAAGGAAATTGCGAGCTTGGATTGTAATTAAAATAATTTATATTTACAATATAATCAATTCATAGGATTAAATTATGTATGCATATAAATAAATTTTGTATCTCTTTTATCTCAACTAAATTTAGACAAAAAAATTATATCTTTCATCTACTATTGTTTATTTTAACCGCGCGAAGCGCGGATAAATTTAACTAGTTAATATACTAAAGTAATAATTAGTGTAGCAGTGGCAACTTCCTCTCAAATTCGTACTCCCTTCCTCCAATGTCTCTATACTACAAAATCTTTCCTTAAAGAGTTTCGTAATCGTACAATCACTTTATTGATGTTCACATGGTGTTTCTTTATGCTTTAGTTTTTTTTTTGTTAATATAGAAAACTTGAAGAAACACGTACTTATATGCTTATTCCTCGAGGGCCAATATTACTTTTACTCCGTGCGAGAAATTATTTATATTTGGTAGCTGCAAAAAATATATATATATATATATATATATATATATATATATAATATATATATTCGACTATTTTATTAAAAGCGACCATACAATATCATTTTCTAATTTCTTAAACTCACTGTTGATTGATGCAGTTGTTAGAGAGAAGGCGCTAGTCAAACGTACATGTAATATACACAACGACAGTATTTCACACAACTGTACCCTTAGGGTGTGTTTGGTACCAAGTAAAATGTTTTCCATATATTTTCCTAGAAAATTTTTCTCTGAAAAATAAGTGGTTTTATCACTTATTTTAACTTGTTTGGTTGGTGAGTGGAAATTTTTTCCTAAAAATATTTTCTAGTGTTTGATTAGAGAGTATAAAATATCTTTAGGAAAATAATTTTTTTATGCTACTCTCGTCAATCCACCTTCCCCAAA